TAGTATTCCATAAATTGGGATTTTGCTCTGGTGATTCCTAATTGGAATGAGGGTTCGAATCCTTCCAAAATCCATGCAAGAGTCACTTATTAATGAAATCGCGTTTCGTTTCATTCTAACGTTTAATAATTATAAAATCTCTTTAATATTTGTTAATAAAAAATATATATAATATACTTGGTTTGTAATATACTACCACGGAACAAATTTTTTGTTCGTGACTAGTGTTGGGAGATAGTGATATCGTGCTGTATACGTAGAATAATAAGATTTGAGAAATTAAGAGAGTTTCAGAATTATTTGCGGCATGAGAAATAAGAATTGTTGATTTCGAGAGGAAAGTTAAAGAGGGAATATCTCTCGCTCATGTCATTTGTTTTTGTTTCTCAATAAGCTCTTGTTTTTACGCGTTTGTTCTCGTCCATTTTTTACTTGCTTTTGCCAGCTGAAATCTAATCCATCAACCATGCCTTAGATTGAACTCTCCCTATAGGTTTGTGTACTGACAAACGCTGGACTCAGTAAATGATGAAATTTCTTGCCAGTCACCTTGTCGAGAAACGCGTCAATCTTTTTCGGCAGTTATTGAACCTCGTGCAAAATGCATTGGTGCTAATGTACACTATATAAAGAGTTATTAATATGAAAAATTCATATTCTTTTATATGGAAATAATCTAACAATATGATTAATGTTTTGTTCTCACCTACCACGTTTACCCATATTCATCAACAATACTGTATCGTCTTTGTCGACCGGTTAATTCTTGTTTTACTTTAGTGCAAACTACCAATATCGGCACATGAATATTTTATTTACTATCTGTAACTCGAAATCATATTCTTTTATTTTAGAATACATCAAACAATAATAAAAATCACATCATAAATATTAATCATTACAAACTAAAAAAAAAGAGTAATAATCTTAATAACATTAAAAGCCTTTCTTCCCACAGCGATCTCATACTTAAATTAGAACTGGCCAAGAACCCACTTCCATTTCCACTGCTACTACTCATGCTCATCACCAACGCTACAAATATGGTCCGTGTATGAATGTTTCTGTAATGCCAAAATTCACATTTATTATCTTAATTGATAGAATTTAAATATACAAATAAGAAACTGCTTTAGCTTTGAACTGATTGACATACCGTTACTTCCAATAAATTAAATTTGAAAAATTATTAGTAATAAAAAGTAATATAAATAACAAAGAAAATTAAAAAAATTTAGCTTATTTCTGGGTTGTGTATTATTGTGTTATTGGTTTGCATATTATCATGCTTCAGAACATTGTGCTTCAGATAGTTTCTTTGCATATTTTTGTTTTGCGTACTAACCCTTTTGATATTAATTTTTCAGCGGCCAGGTGCGCATTAAGAACGAGGAGAAAAACTTATTTTTTTTGCATTGAATCGATCTGAAGAAGCGTGACAGATTTGAATGCCGTATTGGAGATAATACTGAAGAATGCTGCTATATTAAGAACTCGATCAAGAATATATTATTTGACTAATCGCTTGGAAGAAGCCTCAACAGATATAGATACATCTTCATTAATTGAACTGGTCAATATTAGCGCAATTTTGAATTGAGCTGAAATAAATCAACTGTTTGGACGGAGACTTCTGCCCTGCCAAAATTTCCATGATATCCATCCATCATTATATTCTTGTTCCATTGCTTTAATAATTAAATCGTTGGTTGTTTTTGTGTCCAAAAATTCTAAATATATCCAAAGTTACTAAAAATTATAATATGTAACATGTAAAATGCAATACATTAAATTATACGGATAAAAAAATGCTTACCACAAGACGCGACACCAGTAAAATTTTTGACTTGATCATCAGCGGCAAGAATTCCAGCAACATACAGTATGTTCTGTGTCTGTTATACATGTATTGATCCAATGGATCATCATCAACTTTAAGTACCATTAAACGCGTCACGAACAAAATCATATCCAAATTGAATTTTACATATTCATGGGAAGTAAAAGGAAAGATCACGCGTGCTTGTCATTGTGTTTTGAATGTCATGCTTTTATTTGCTGTATTTCACGTATTGTTGATTGCTGTGCTTCGTGTATTGTTGTTGGTAGTTTGTGAAAGAATTGAAAATAGTATTGATAGGAAATTTTATAATGATAAAATAAAAATAAAAAATCCAGTAAAAAAGTATCCATAATCAAAAAAAAACACAATTGAAAATAAATTTTTTTTTGAAAGTTCAATCTTTTTCAAGAATTAGCCATCACTTTCTCTGGCTTGCTCGTCATCCAGGCCGTTGCCTCAGACTAATGGATATAATTAACTAATCAAGTTAAGGAAAATAAAAATTATCATTATTTTAAAATGTTTAAGCTGCATGTGAAAAATACATACTATTTTACTTTCTATATTCCACACATTTAATAGCTTCATCATGAGATCTGAGGATCGTATCAATCCCGTATTGAAATCAAACCTAATAATTCATTGAAATTATATTTTGAATAAATCATTATTTTCAAAAAAAAAAAAGTGATACAAGTGGTTACGTTTTCGGCTGTTTCTCCAAACCATCACTGAACGCGTGAGCCTCATCCGAGAACAACAATTAAGTACTGGAACCTTATGGGTATAACTTGTTTTAAGTGGTGAGGTATTATGAACGTCGTATAATCTTATACTTACAGAACGGTTATAACGTCGATAAGGCAAATGTGGTTTTATGCATACATGCAGAACAAGAGTAAAGAAATCTTACTTTATCCCAAGAAGAGACTAGTAAAAGATCCGAATTTGTAGGGCTAAACACAATTGATGAAATAGTGTCAGCCGGCATATCATTTAATTCGTATTGCAGCATGTTTACAAGGGCTGTAAAGGTAAAGAGAAAACTTCGACTGCACGTAATCGGAATCAACTGTTGTGAATCTGTGTAATTCACGAATCAACATGATGTGATTTGTCGATGGTTGATGAATTGTTGATATCATTGATACAGAAGAAATGTGATGTCATTTCTCACCTCTTGGCTTCCAAGGGAAAAACAAATAACAACTCCACACATAAAACCCGCTGATTAGTGTATTCCTTATTACCAATGACCACGGCCTCAATTTGTCAAACACGAAGTAGACGAAAGCAGCTGCCTTTTCTTTCCTATCGAATATCAGCCTTGGAACTGAGACTTTTTCTGGGCAACTACAGTTCCCGGCCGATTTCCACAGAATGATAACATCCATAGTGGCAAAGAAAACAAAATTTACAATGCTAAATGATAAACTTTATCGATTAATATACCCGGTAAGCTGGTAAATTTACAGACATTTTACGTCTAAAGAAAAATTATCTTACCTGTGAAATTCCAACATAGAAGAAGCGATTGAGAATAAAAAGTGCAATTACTTCTTGTTCGATATACTATGAATCCAAAACACAGGAATAAATTAATTGGATATCATATTTACCTTGGGTATCCTTGAGAAACAACACAGCATAAGGATTTGGAAAAGCTGTGCCTGTCAAATACTCCAACGGTATTATTGACGAGGGTTGTATGGATGATGGTGCGGTCACCTGTCTAACTCCTCTTTTCCGGGTTCTTGGTCTAATAGTTCCGCCTAAATAATGAATGATTCACATGGATCGCAAAAAAGATTTTGTTAAAGAATAAAAATGCCCAACCCAGAAGGCAGTCTGTTACAAAAATTGCATCCATTATTAAGGTAGGATGTTTTTAATAATACTACACAATATATTTTATAGTATTGTTGCCGTTATAATATAAATTTTTTATCTTAGCACATGATATATATTGACGTTAATAAATGTATATTAAATAACACATGAACATAAATTTGATCTACATAGTACATATATCAGAGGCAGGTTCAGGTTTATTTGACATGATAAAAAAAATAGTCCGAAAAAACGAAAAGAAAAATATGCATAAATTAAATTGGTCTCCTTTATTAATTATTTTTCATATTTTTAATATTTTTTTAGAGTCTGTGATGTCTCGTTCTTCCTCTTCTCAATCTCCTCTTGTACGATTGGAATATGATGAAATGAAGAATACTATGCCTAAACATATTATTTTTTTATCAATATTTGGAGGTAACGAAAAAAATGATTTCTTTAAAATTAAATTCTTTTCATGATTAATAAATTCCATCAAACAGGTAGAAGTCATGTTAAACCTAAATTGGAAATAGGACAAATGTTAGTTGATCGTGGTCATAAGGCAAGAAATTTAATTAGCATCAAAGAAATTTACATATACTAGATTTACATGATTTCATGAAAACAGTTTACATTAGTCGCTCCAAATTCAAATGAAATAATCGCTCGTGAACATCCCAAGATCGAGCTCATCACAATCGATCCAATCCGGGAAGGAAACCTGTTTCTCAACGAACATTACAATTTTCGACACTTGCGTGCGTTCTATCAAAATATTGAAAACTATTATTCGTACGTTTTTCCTATATTGTTAAATGCCGCAATCGAAAGACAAGCAGATTTGTTGATATGTGGAATGGAACGGATGGCAGAAGTTTGTGCGGATGTTGCTTGGGTTTTGGGATTACCCATTGTGTTAATGTTAGAGCATTATGAATTGAGTGCAGGTATTTAACGAATTAGAAAAGCAAACAAAAGATACTTTATCGTACTTGTTTAATTTGGCTAATCTATTATTTTTTATAAGCTGCACCTTACAAATCAGATCCTGTCTACACAACA